TTGGAAGTCAGGATGGCCTACCAGACTTGGAGGCACTATAGGCTGTCTAGAGCAAGCATATACGTGCTTCAAAAAAAGGATCCGAGCCCTCCCTGATCGATTATGTTCTCATGAGCCCCGAGGCGACCTTTTACTTTCAAGGTTTAGAAACAGTTGCGGTACCCTGGAAGCCCCACGTCGGTCAGGTTCTCACGCTCCGGGCTGCAGTTGCGCCAGCTTTAACGAGGACATTCTGCATGCCTGCGCCTTTCGCGCACCCGCCCCGCAGGAAAGAGGCGGACCCGAGCAGCAAGAGGCAGCGTCGCCTGCGGGAAAAAGGCAGTGACCTCTCGCCTGCGGCCTCCGATGCTGCTGCCGCTGCCGCCCCCCCCTCGCCTCCAAAAAAGTAGAAGACAGGGGGCAAGAACTGGCAAACCGACGTCGGGAGGCTCTAGGCCCAACTGGCTGGTCACATTTTCCCTAGGCGCCCGTGGGTTTAGACTCGGAGGAAGTAGATCCCTCTGAAGATTTGGATAGGGCTCTGGAGGATTCCCAAGACATTCCTGAACCAGTTGAGTGCCCATTTAGTGAGCCCGAAGGCCCGAAGGAGCCCGAGGAGTCGCCGTCGCCCGCCCCGCCCTGGGGTGGGAACCTGCCCCCTGCAGCTGAAGCCTCGCAGTCTGATTCCAGGGCTGCCGAGAATGGCGTTGCTGATTTAGGGGTTTGCAAGGAGACCCTCGATGAGCTCTGGGCTGAAGTCGGCACAGCCGCCCCCCCTTCGAGTGCAGAACGTGCCTGATCACTTCGAAAGTTGCCCAGCTTTTCGCGTGAGCCCGTCTGACTCCATCGAGCTAGGTGAGAGATATGCCCAGCTAATGCAACAGGTTGAGAACTTTTATATCAAGGCTTACGCCATTCCAGATCAGGACGCCTCGAGACTTAAAGGGAGAGCTGACAACTTCAAGCTAAAAGATAAGGAGGTCCGTGAGCGAGGCCTCAGAAGACCCCGTTTTCAGAGCTACCAGGCCAGCTGGTGGGCTAGGGTTTCCAACACTCTTGAACTGCATTGCACCCTCGCGGCCAAAAAGAGGGGTGCCCAGCAGCAGAGAGAGCTTCGCAACATTGCCCAGAGACTGGCACAGGAGGGGATCCCGTCGGCGGGCAAGAGCCCGACCCCGACGGCGCGCCTCCACCGCGCTGTGTGGATCGAGAGGCTCTCGGACATTTCCAAGGTCGGGCATCCCACCCTGCTCGGCATGGCACCCCAAGCATCCGATGAGACTGCCCGAGCCCACAGGCAATATTTTGAAAAGAAGTCGCGCGCGTGGGCCGATTAACTCTCGGACCCTACCCCGGCCAAGCCTGGCAAGTTACACAAAATCACGAAGCCCCGCCCTAGGTTTGAAGATGAGCTCATTTGTGGCGACCGTAAGGGTACGTCGCCCCTAGAAGTCATTGGTATAAAAGCCAGCGTCTTTCAAGAGATCTGGACCTCGAAATCGGTCTCGTCTCACGACTCCGTAGCCACTTTGGCTCGAGTCAGGGAGCAGGCACAGCAGGAGCCCTGCCCCGTCTGGTCGCTAGACCAGCTTGACCAGGCCCTCCGCCTGCAGCCCGACAGGGGCCGCGGCGTCGACCGTTTAGTTGCATCCGATGTGCGGCGTCTTCTTGTGGCGGCGCGCCAGCAGTTTGTCGATTTGATTAATATGGCTGAGCAACGACAGGCCTGGCCATTCCAGCTGCTCCAGGCCATAGTCATGCTAGGGCCCAAGAAGTCGGGTGGCAGGGCCTTGGCGCTGATCGCCTGGCTCATCAGGTGCTGGCAGATGCTGACGCGGCCGCAGGTGGATCAGTGGGTCGCCGAGGCCGCGCGCCACTGGGACTCGGCGCTCAAGGGCTCGTCCTGCCTCCGCGAGGCGCTCGCGAGGGCGCTGCAGGACGAGGCGGCGGATGCCCTGGCCATGGCGTCGGCGGCCTCACTGGCGGACACCAGCAGGTTCGACGACACGCTGGCGATACCGACGGTGGCGACAGCGTGCGAGGACCTGGGTTTCCCACAGAGAGCTCTTGCACTAGAGCTCCAAGTTCATGCTGCGCCGAGGCTCCTACGACAAGAGGGGGCGCACGGCAATCCATGTCAGGCCTTGATCTCGCTGCTAGCGGGTTCCAGGCACGCGAACAATCTTGCGAGAGCGGTGGTCTACAGGGTGCTGGACAAGGCTACCCTCCAGGACCCGCGCGCCCACCCGAGGGCGTGGTTCGACGATGTGAGCACCACGGTCTACGGCAGTGCCACAGCGGTGGAGAACATCATTGTGGACGCCACAGACAAGTTGGAGAGAGCCCTCAGCGATGAGGGATTGGAGCTGGCAGACAAGAGCGTGATCATCTCGTCCAATTGGGCCATGACCAAGAGGATCACGGCAAGGCTCAAGAGGAAAGGCATAGACATCAGAGCTGCTCAGGAGGCCCGTGACCTGGGCATTGACAGGGCGGCGAAAGGTGCACGACGAAGAGCGACACACACGGACCGAAGAGTAAAAGCATACAATCACATGACATCGCTGGGGAAAAAGCTGCGGCGACTCCGACGTGAAAAGAGAATGACAGTGTTGAACCAAGGATCCATGCCCGCATTGATGTACGGCGTCAAGGCCCAAGGAGAGGCTCCTGCTGCCATACGCCGTGCTCGTCAGAGGTATATTGCTGCGCTGGCTGCCCCAAGGCCAGGCAGATGCACCACGACATTTCTCAAGCTGGAGGGCAAGGACCCCGCCCTAGAACTTCCTAGGGCGCAGCTTCGAGCTTGGTTCGATCTTTATGCACATCGAGCGGACCTTCGAGAGTTGATTACAAAAGTTTGGTATAGAATCTACGAGCGTCTCAAGAGATCCCCGCCACAACACAGATGGAGGCAACGAAGAGGAGTTATCGGTTCTTTGATCCTTACCCTTTGGGAAGCTGGCTGGGACCCCGTGACAGCTACATTATGGACAGACCCTCGAGGAGATGATTGGGAAATGAAGCCAGAAGCTGCTGATAAGAATCCAGCCACCAGCATCGATGCAATTGTCGCTGATATCGAGGCACAACTCTGGAAAGCTGCAGCACGTGGGCATAACGCTAAAGGAATGGAGAATGGTATCGACGTTTCAGATGCGATAAGGACTTTGAAAAGACTGAGGAGTTCCAACCGACTGCCCGAAGCAAATGCCCTGTTGACGGCCATGACTGCTGGCACTTGGACCCCAGCGAGAAAGGCAGACCTCTTTGGCGAGGAGCATGCAGGCAATGGCTTGTGCGCATGTGGCAAAAGAGCTGACGACTTCCATCGTATCTGGGAAGATTGCAGTGCCCGGCCTGATCACCCAGACTTTGAGAAGTCACAGACGCTGCTAGCCATGGCCGAGGCAGGCCAACACACTTACCCGTGCATGTGGTTGAGAGGTATCCCGCCCAGAAGTTGGACTACGCCACCAGAGTGTGACACAGTCTATACAGAGGAGCTCTTCGGCGAGGCCTTGAACATGCACCGCATAGTTGCCACGGACGGGCCCATGACGGTCTGCGGAGATGGCAGCGGAGGCGAGAACGCTGATGACGAGAGATATAGGCGCTGCGGCTGGGCGTGGGTGGCACTGAACACGTCCAACCTGTCGGCGCCAGAGGTCAGAGGAGGAGGCCAGGGCCCACTGGCGGGAGCCAGGCAGACGAACAACCGCGCCGAGATCACGGCGCTGCTGTCAGCCCTCCGCCACACGGCTGGGCCGATCGACTTCTGGACAGACTCGGAGGTACTCTTCAAGGGCTGGCACCGTGGTCGCCATCACAGCCCTGGAGGGTGGAGTGTGCACGGCGACCTGTGGGAGCAGCTCGCCAGTGCGTTCCAGGAGCGCGGCCCAGGCGAGGTTCAGGTACTCTTCATGCACAGCCACCAGTCGTCCGCCGAGGCCGAGGCCAGGGGAGCCCCCACCGCAGCGTGGAGGGGGAACGAAGTGGCGGACGACCTAGCAGGGAGAGCGGCAGATGAGCATAGCATCCCAGAAGCACGTTTGAGCTGTTACAACTGGGCCGTCGCCACAGGTTGTTTGATTAGAAGACGTAGTTTAAGAGCCACTCCTTTTGCTTTTGAGAATGAAGTTTCGGGCCCCACGGTGAGACAGGTACGAAGGGCTCAACATAGATCTAAGCCCAATGCCCTCGCCCAAGCCCAAGCCAACACCACACACATTTTAACTGATATGAAATCTAGGTGGTCCTGTAAGTGTTGCAACACGTCGCTCAGTAAGATAGCCAGTAGCAGAGATTTAGATGTTTGGTTGACCTCCGAGTGCCTTGGACCCCCTCTAGAGCTGCCCAGACAAGCCCAAGCCCAGCAATTGGCCATGGGAACGAGAGTTGGTCACCCGTCCCATTGCCTTGCGCATTTTGAACCTTATTGGGTTTGTACGGCATGCGGGTGTAGAGCTCTAAGAGGGAGAGGCCATATGAGAGGCCTTGCGGAGGAGAGTAAGTGTCAGAACGGTCAGCCCCCCACCAAGATGGGGGCCTGGGTGATTTCACGTGTGATGGAGGGCCGCCCTCTCGGATAGGGCGGCCTCGGGGGTGCGCCAAACGGGGCCCCGTCCCTCCTGCTGCGTCTGCTAGGTGGGTTCTGGCCCTGGTGGCTCCACCGAGCACGTGCGGCAGGGGTGGCGGGCTTCCCCGCTTCGCGTCCTCGTTCTCGGCGAGGCCATCTTGCCGTTCTGACCCTGTCAGATTGGGAAAGTCCGGGAAAGTCCTCCTCCCGCCTCCTTCCTCCTCCTCCTCCTTCCTCCTTCCTCCTCCTCCTCCTCCTCCTCCCGCCTCCTTCCTCCTCGTCCTCCTTTCTCCTCCTTTTCCTTCCTCCTCCCTCCTCCCGCCTCCTCCTCTCTCCTCCCTCCTCCTCCTCCTCCTCCTCCTCCTCCTCCTCCCTCCTTCCTCCTCCCTCCTCCTCCTCCTCCTCCCCCCACACACACAGGAAACAAATCACTCGGCCCCAGGTCAACGCCCGCAGTGTGGTGTCCACCGTGCCGGCGCACGCGCTGGGCGAGGCGCTGGCGCCGGTGGTGCCCGAGGCGGCGCGCCTCTGCGACAAGGCCCGGGTCGCTGGCGGCGGCGGCCATTGGCGGCCTTCTCGCCATGAGTCGGCTACGCTTAAGTCGGGCAGGTCCCTCTGCAGGAGGAAATTTCAAAAATGGCCCAGAAAAACACTGTGGGGACGGTTTGTTGGTTATTTGTGATGATCTTTGAGTATGATTTGACTTCTGTTTTATTTTTCTTCCAAAATCCTCCTGTAGGGGACGTGCCTGACCTAAGGCTACGCTCAGGAGGGAAGAAAGCACACAGAGACAAACAATCGTCGATTCCGAGGAAGGTATGGAAGATCTGGGAAGTGGAGGGCAACACGCGAACAGCCAGAAAATATGTAATCCTGGTCCTGGGATTCGTGTCTATCTATGTGGGTGTCCCTGGGCCCCTTCAGCAGGAGTGACCCTTCGCCAGAGTGACCTCCGGGGCTGGCCCACTGGGGTCCCACCAGCATTGGTTAGCGCGCTCGGAGTCGCCTCCCCCCCGCGGCCCCCTCATGCCGCGCACCAGAGGGCACTCTTGCCAGGTGTCACTCTCGCGCGTAGCCGAATGAAGCGCCATCAGGGGCACCGTTGGGGGGAGGTCGGCTCCAGGTTCGAGGTCACAGGTTCTCGGGCGTCGTCGTCGGTTCCCAGCGGCTCTGCAGCCGAAGGGTGCCTTCCAGCGACTGCGCCTCGCCGAGGGCGCCCCAGGCGTGCCCCGAACGGCCACCGGAGAGCCGAGCCACGGCCCGAGAGCTGCCCCCGAGCGCCCACTCACCGCCGATAGAGGGGGCCCCGCGGCCCACCCCGCGCAGGAGCGCGCACGATGCGCTGTCGGGGGTCTCTCGCCGAGCGGTCGTCGATGCATCGCCGAGTCCGGGCCGAGGCTGCCCCGCTGAGCCGGTCCCCCCCCCCGATCGTGCCCCCTCAAGCAAGCGGGCCCCGAGGGAAAGCGTGCCCTGGTGTGTGTCTCTCGGTCTCCTAGCTCTCGGGGCCCTCCCAGGGAGGGGCCGTGGGGCCGTTGAAGGAGTGGTTCGGGATGACGAGTTCGCTCTCGAGGCCCGTTTCACTCAGCACCCGCTTCCGTCATGCTGGCAATTCGGCGGCCACCGATGGCCATCGGCGGCCATTGGCAGCCTCGAGTGGCTTGTGGTGGTGAGGGCAGCGGCGTCGTCGCCATCGTTGTCCTCGTCACCCGCGTCGTCCTCTTCGTCGTTGTCCTCGTCATCCTGGTCGTCCTCGTCGTTCCCGTCGTAGCCCTCCCTGCCGTTGTCGATCGAGGCTCGAGGCTGCAGGCTTCTGGAATTGCGTGGGGCCTCACTGTGCCTGCAGGGAGGAGGGCGTCCCTCGTCGCTGCGTTTGGACCCCTCTGCGGTGACCTGGCCAGGAGGACGCGCCGCAGGATCGTGCCCGGGCGTTTCGATCTTGGCGCAGAGCCGTCGTCATCGTCGTCCTCTTCCTCCTCCATGCTCCTCCGCCCGCGCAGAGCGGTCGTCCTCGTCGTGCTCCCTGCTCCTCCGCTCCGTGTTCCTCCGCCCGCGCTGCCCCCGGAGGGGCGGTCCGTCGGGCCGGCGGTGCGCGCCTGCTCGCTCGCTCGCTCCCCCGCTTCGGCCACCTCCTGGGGGAGGAGGAGGAGGGGGGGGGGGGGGGAGGAGGAGGAGGAGGAGGAGGAGGAGGAGGAGGAGGAGGAGGAGGAGGAGGAGGAGGAGGAGGAGGAGGAGGAGGAGGAGGAGGGAGGAGGAGGAGGAGGAGGAGGAGGAGGAGGAGGAGGAGGAGAGGAAGAGGAGGAGGAGGAGGAGGAAGGCAGGAGAGAAGGAGGAGGAGGAGGAGGAGGGCAGGAGTAAGAGGAGGCGGAGTAGGAGTAGGAGGAGTAGGAGGAGGAGGAGGAGAGGAGAAGATGGAGGAGAAGATGGAGGAGGAGGAAGAGGAGGAGGAGGAGGAGGAGGAGAGGAGGAGGAAGGCAGGATGAGGAGGAGGAGAAGGAGGAGGAGGAGAAGGAGGAGGAGGAGGAGGAGGAGGGGGGTGCGGGGGTGCGGACGGGAGGCGGACCTCACGCCTGGCCAGAAGGACCACCTCAGACAGGAGGAGCGCCGATGCCGAAACCTTCTTGCCTCTCTCCGCCAGCAGTGGCGGCAGGACTGGGCGCAGGACCACCGTCCCTACACCGAGGATGACCTCAGAGACGCCTGCGCCCGGATAAAGGTCGGGAAGGCTAGCGCAGGACTGCCGTACGTTTGCCTCAAGGAGATGCCCCAGGGCCAAGGGGGGCTCCTCCTGGGTGTGCAAAACTTCGCCCGGTTCCTCATGGTGATCCCCGGCCGCTGGAAAGATCAGCCGACTTTCCATAAACGCAAGCAGGGGAAGCCACAGCAGAAGTACCAGAGCTACAGGACCCTCAGCACGAATACCGTCGAGCTCAGGATCGCCGAGGAACTGTGGGCGCTGCACCACGAGCACGCGCTCTGGCTCTCTGCTGGGGAATGCCAGTTGGGCAGGTGCGACTCCCTCATCGCGGTCCTGCTCGGCGTCGAAACGCGGCTTATTCGTGCTGACTTGGGCCTCCCCATCGCCGAGGCCTTCACGGACCTCCCAGAAGCGTTCGACACGATCCACGGCCCAGCGGTCACACTGGGCATCAACGAGAGCGCCGGCCTCACCGGAGAGGACCTCGTGCTGGCCGCGCAAATGCTCCACGGCTCCCAGGTCCGCGTGGTTTCCGGCGACGCACAGGCTGCCCCAGTCCCCCTCGCGGACGGCATGCCAGAAGGCCGACGCCTTGCCCCAGCCTTCTTTGTCGCGGCAGCCAGGGCCTTCAGGGCGGCCGCTGGCCCCGAGTGTGGCGGCGTTGGGCTTGACCCCCCCCCAGAGGCGGTCACAGCCTTCCACCTCGCTGCCCGCGAGGACGCCGGAGAGGCCCCCCCCTGCCGGGAATGGTGCGCGCAGACTGCCCGCAGGTGCCGCCAGGGCTACCAGACCTGGGAGGACGCCATGCGCGCAGCCCTCTCCCGCGCGGACCAGCGCGGCCTGATTGACGCCGCCTCCACCCTGCGGGTCGGCCTGACACAGTTCATGGACGACAACGTGCACAGAGCCAGCTCCAGGGGCGGCCTCGCCCTCTGCATCCAGCGCATCACGGAGGCAGCCCAGTCGGTCCGAGGTGAGCTCCGCGTCGGACCGGGGAAGACGGAGTGCATCAGCAACGGGATCATGGACGTCCGACCGATCCGCGGCATCGCGTTCGCCCCGCTCCTCACGTCCTTGGGCATCCTGGTTGAGGCGGACGCCCGCATGCTGGGCCTCCTCAGGCAGGTCGAGACCCGGGCGCAGGGAGGCTGGGCCAGCGCGCTCACGACCATCGAGCACCTCCGCCTGCCCACCGCCGCCGCGCTGGCCGCCTTGCACACGCGGACCACCCCGCCAGCATGCCACGGGGCGGCCCTGCTCATAGTCCGCGGCGACTGGGAGAGCCGCGTCGACTCCATCCCGGACCGATGGGTCTCGCGGCTGCTGGACCTCTCCCAGGCAGTGCTGCGCGTCGCCCTCCTCCGCGAGGGCGGGTTCGCCTGGCGGCTGAGCACCAGCACCCTCCGCCATGCCTTCGGCCTCCACGCTCGCGTCCAGGCGCTCCCGCAGACGGCGCCCCCGCCCCGCGTCCAGCGCGCTGCGCGCGAGTGCCAGGGCACATGGACAGCCGCGCTCGAGCAGCACGCGAACGACCTGGCCATCCTCCTCTTCGTCGGCTGGGCCCGCGGCGCTCTCGCCCAGGAGGCCCAAGCCCTTAGCGGCCCGGCGAGGAGGCGGGCGACCCGCCGCTACCTCCGCGAGGCCGTCGACCTTGGGCTGCAAGCGCGGGAGGACGGGTGGCTCGCGGCACAGCGCAGGCTTGACCCAGCCCGAGGCCCGCGCAGCCTCGCAAAGGTCAGCGATCTTGCCCCGGTGTGCCACGCCGTCCGCCCCTGGGCGCAGCTGCGGCTCCAAGGCCGCTTCACGTCCCACGGCAGCGGCTTGTTGGCGCCCTGCCGCCGGCGCGGCGCTGAGGCCCGGGTGGGCGGCAGCCATTTCGGGACGTGCCCCCAGGCAGCCCGCGCCGCTCAGGACGCAGCCGCAGGCACCCCCTGGGAAGGGGACACCGCCGCAGAGCTGCGGCGCCAGTGCCGCGAGGACGCGGACGTCCTCACGGCGATCACAGTGGCCAGGCGCCCCGCGGCCCGCTAGGCAGGCAAGGGGCCTCCGTCCGAGACATAAGGAGCCATAGACCCCTGGCCCTCGGCCCGGCCCGTCCTCTCTTGGCCCGCGGCGCCCCGCCCCTTCCCCCTCCCCTCATTCCCCGCCTGCGCCGCCCTTGCGCCGCCCTTGCGCCTCCGCCGGTCCCCGCCCATCCCCACCATCCCCCTTCCCCTCTCCCCCCTGCCCCTGCCCCCCCCTGGCTTCCTCCCCTGGCCCCGGCCCGCCCCTGTCTCCCGCCCTGGTAAATCGAAAGCACGAGCCAGACAGAGAGTCTGGGGTGGCCCCGGCGTGCCTCGCCAGCCGCGACCTTGCGCGGCTGGCCTGAGCCAGGGCACACCCCCGATTCTCCCGTTGGCCCCGTGCCCTTGCGCTCGGCGGAGGCCCCGGAAAAGAGTGCGCAGCCCCCAGCGGGCGCCCAGCGTGTTCTTCGCATGTCTCGCGCCCTGGGCCGTCTCATGGGCGAGTTGCGGGGGGCGCTGAGTCGCTGGCAGACCGCTGGGCCTAGGCTATATGTTGGTTGTTTAAAGCTCCCGCGCGTCTGCCCTGGGAGCCCGCGCCACGAGGACGGCGGCGGCGACGCGGTCGAACGAATAAAAAGGGAGAGGGGGAGGAGGAGGAGGAGGAGGAGGAGGAGGAGGAGGAGGAGGAGGAGGAAGGCCATATGCGGGACCCATCCCCCGCACTCGCCCCTCGCGACGCGACGCGCGGCGCGCTGGCCGCACGCACGCGGCCGCGCTGGCTGTGCGCCATGTCAGCTGGCCGCCAGCCGGGGGGCTGCCCCCCCCCCACCCGCGGGGCGGCCCCCTGTGCGGGCGCGAAAGGTCAGTTGCACGGGGCGCCACAGCGACCTGGCGCGTTGCGCACCGCAGGCGCCTGGTTGCGGCCGAGGCGGCTGCGCGGCGACCAGCGCAGAACTATGACACCCAGGGGGGACAAGTGCGATCAACAATTCAAGTGTTATAGAAAAGCTCAAATGCGATAAGGACTTAACCCGAGAAGTTGTTTGATCGCAGTTGGACGCAGAACAATGACACCAATGGGGAGCACCAGGTTCGGCACCAAGTGCGACAAGGTCGCCACCAAGTATGACAGACAAGACCAGCACCACAGGCACGACGCCAAGCACGGCAAGTATTACACCAGACACGGGAAGCACATACGGGTACGTGACCAGCAGAGACGGCACCAAGTACGACGACACGTATTCCGAATACGACGGCAAGAAGGACAATCCGCCCATCAAAATGTGGCGCAACAGGCAGCATGACCAGCTTGTTGAATACAAGGAATTGGTCATCGAGGTCCTGGACTACTCCTCCGGCGACGTCCACGACGGCTACGACAATTTCGTCGATACCGATTTGCACCACACGCCAAGTGAGGAAGGGAGGGACTGGCACTGGCTTGCCCCCACCCGCGCAGGCGATTTCCCAGCTTGAATCGCTGGGGCTCGAGGGAGGTGCCGCGCGTAGCACTCGGGCGGGCCCTTGCATCACCGACATCTGCGGCGACGGAGCCCCGCTGGCGGAGCAGCCACAGGCAGAGTCGAGAGCCACCAGCTGGGCTACCAGGGCCTACAGCTCAGCTGCGAGAGTGACCGGCTGAGCTACGAGGGCCGCAAGCTGAGCCACAGGAGCCACCAGCTGAGCCGCGAGGGCCACAAGGTCTGCTGGGCTGGCCACACGCAGAACTACGAGAGCCACGGGCAGAGCTACCTGGCCCACCAGCGGAGCTTCGGCGACCATCTCCTGAGGCGCGAGGTCCACCAGCAGAGCTACGGGGGCAACGCGCAGAGGAGGGCAGGAAGGAAGAGGACGCCACCGAGGCCTCCGAGAGAAAGGAGAATAAGAAGGATGAGGAGGTGGAGGAAAAGATCCGTGTGGTCACAGAGGAAAACGACGGTATGAAGGCAGGGGACGACTGGAAGGCGGAGGAGGCCGGCAAGAAAGACGAGAGCAGGAAGTCCGCCGTAGCCAGAAAGGCAGAGATCGCCAACAAGAAAGAGGAGGATAATTCCGAGGAGGAAAACAAGGCAGTGAAGGATAGGAAGGACGAGGAGCTCGGACAGGCAGCAACTGCCAGAAGGGCTGTGGACGCCAAGAAGACGCACAAGGCTAGGAAGCCGAAAAATATTAAGAAGAAGAGGAGGTCAAGAGTGTACACGAGGCCATGGAAGCTGGGGAGGCCAGGACGGCCGCGGCAATGAGGGCCATGGAGGCCACGTACGCCATGCATGACCCCATCCCCCACCCGATCGATGCGGAGATAGATGGCATCATCAGCCAACTGGAGCGCTACAGGGACGCGCAGGCGCGCTAGGATTGGGCCCAGTTCTGGGTTTTAGGGTCCGAGGTACGACGAGGAGACGATGGCGAGGACGACCTGAAGAGGCACGGGATCAGGAGACCTTGCTGGATGCGCGACGACTGTTCAGCGGAACCGTGATTCCGACTTTTCTGTATGGGTCAGCGTGTTGGACTAACACACAAATCTTTGAACAGCGAGTACGCAGCACGCAGAGAAAAATGCTTCGTATGATTTTTCGAGTGCCCAGGCGTCGCTTTTGTACGGACAGCAGCCCGGGGAACTGTACGTCCGAAGATACACGCGTTCATGAATCCAGCACTAGTGAAGACCAAAGTGACAGATCTCCCTCCAGCTCGACGAGCGGCGATACAAACTCAACTACTTCATCGGGATCCAGTAGCAGTTCTGGCGGGCTCGAACCCTGGCATGAATGGATGCAGCGAGCTACACGTTACGCTATGCAACCGATGGAAGCGAATGGATATGACAAGTGGGAAGTCATGCAACGACGCTACAAGTGGGATCTGGCACAACACCTTGTTACGACAGACCGGCACAAATGGAGCAATGCAGCATTGCACTGGGGTCCGAGCTTGCTGGCTCAGCCTGCGAGAAGATCAACGGGAAGACCCAAGCGGAGGTGGACCGACGACCTCACGAAGGCAGTGCAGATACACAGTTCTATAGGAGGTACTTGGATGTCCGTTGCAGAAGACGCACAAGAGTGGGAACGAGTTGGACATATATATATATATATGGAGGTTAAGTGAACGGCGCCCCGGCGCCAACTCCTGGCCCCGCGCGCGGCCGCCCTTTTCGGGCGCATCGGGAGCTGCCTGCCTGCCTGTCTGCCCAGCAGAGCTACCCAGTCCACCAGATTAACGACAGGGGCACCGACCAGAGCTTCGAGAGTCACCACCACATCTGCGCGAGCCGCCTGCTGAGCTGCGAGGGCAACGGGCTGAGCTACGAGAACGCCGACGACCACCTCCTTGAGCTACGAGAACAACGAGCGGGCGTACGAGGGCAACAAACGGGGCCACGAGGGTCACCAACAGAACTTCGCGAGCCACCAGCTCAACTACCAGGGCCACAACACGGGCTACGCGGCCCACAAGCACAGTTGCGAGGGCAAGCAGCTGATCTGCCAGGGCCACCAGCTGAGCTCCGAGGACATCGAGCAGGGGTTCGAGGACAGCGAGGGCCACCACCAGAGCTTCGGCGGCCACCAGCTGCGCTACGAGCGCAGCAAGCAAAGTTCTGGAGACCACCTGCCGAGCTTTAAGGGCAATCAGTACGTACAGCTTCGACAGCCGCCTGCAGTGTTCCAGGGGGCATTTGCAGAGAACGACGAAAAGCGCGACGATGAGGCCGAAAACGAAGAGGTCAAGAGGACGTGCATGATGGGGAGGGTCAGGAGGTTGCGAAGGCCAGAGAGGTCCTTGCATACTACGAGGACACATGGGGGCGCGAGCACGAGCTGCGAGCCCACACCATCGAGGCCATACACGAGAGGGGCCACATCTCCTACGACGAGTACTTGCAGCGCACCACCGCTGCGCGACGCTAGATCACAGGTCTGGTACAAGCTCTGAGGATCACCGCGAGGTGCGCGCAGGACGCTTCCGACCCGCTGGGCAAGCAGATCGAAGACCCGACCGCGCCCACTGCAAGAAGGCGGGGCTACTACGACTGACAAGGGGGCGCCAAAACTCATCTCCCTACCTCATCCTCTCGATCTTCTTCGGGGTTGCTGGAAGGGTCGTTGGAGCCCCTGGAGGTGGCGTGGGTTTGGTGCGGCATGGCCCCTGCCCGTGTCTGTCGGTGGTTGGGTGTTCCAGCCGATGGACGGTGCCCCGCGCGCCGCCGGCGCCCGCGGGGCGCCCTTCGCGCTGGACTAAACGTTGCCCGCTTGGTCATGCCGATTGGCTCGCAGAGGGATGTAGGAAGGATAGGACGGTTCCTCCCTCCCTTCCCCCCTCTGGAAACAAGGCCCCTCTGGTGGCGTCAGGGGGAACTCATCCGCCGGTCGAGAGCGCGGGCCCGCGTCCATGGGCGCGCGTTCGACCGGCGGAGAGGCAGGGGCTGTTTCCTTGTAGCGGTGCGCACCAGATAAAAGAGGAGGAGGAGGAGGAGGAGGAGGAGGAGGACGGGGAGGAGAAGGGGGACGAGGACGAGGAGGAGGAAGAGGACGACGACGACGTCATCGAGGAGGAGTGGTTGACGGAATAGGAAAAGGAGGAGGAGGAGGAGGAGGAGGAGGAGGAGCAGGAGGGTGAGGATCAGGAGGAGGAAGAGGAGGAGGAGGAGCAAGGAGGAGGAGGGAGGGGGGCGAGAAAAGGAGCGGGCGGAGGAGGAGGAAGCGCGCTGGAGGATGCAGGCGGAGGATGTTGAGGAGAAGCATGAGGAGTTACATGATGGAATGGGTAGAATGGGATGGGATGGAATGGAACGGAATGGACTGGAATGGAATGAAATGGAATGAATTGGAGTGGAGTGGACTGGAATGGAATGGAATGGAACGGAATGGAATGGAATGGAATGGAATGGAATGGAGGAGGAGGAAGAAGAGGAGGTGGAGGAGGAAGGAGGAGGGAGGGAGGGAGGGACGGGGGAGGGAGCAAAGAGAAGGAGGTGGAGGAACACGGAGGGAGCGGCACGCCTCCGGCGACGAGGTCAGGGAAGCCATCGGGCGCGTGGGCATCTACCACCCGCCGGTGTACGCAGTCACCGTGGCCTACCCTAAGGTCCCACTCGGGGTCGCCGGCGCCGCCTCCGCCACAGCCGCCGCCATAAACGCGGGAGGACAGGCGACTTCATCTGCTTCGCGGTCGTTCCCCTCAGCTGTCTTCCTCCTTTTCCGAAATCATGCTGGGCAAGCTAAACAAAGCACAACAAGCATCAAACACACAAACATACATACCCCCCTCCCCTCCACCCCACCCCCCACCCCAAAAAAGGCATCATCGCGGGTGCCCCGTGGAGATATATTGCGCCCAGGTGCTGAGAGAAAGCCCTGCGAGGTGAGAGAAAGCCCTGCGAGGTGCAAACGTTGGAGGGAGGTGCTCCAGATGTCTGGCACAGTCGGACCGAGGTATAAGATCGAGGTCGGTTCGGGGAGGGTGCCCTAATGTTCTTCTCGTTTGTTGGATGTTCTGGTGCATCCTAGGGAGGGTACCCGTGGATGTTCTGTCTGTTTTGGCCGACGGAGGGTCCCATGTTCTCGAAGGATGCTCTTCTGGCCTTGGTCCGAATGTAGCAAGGCTTCTTGCCCTGCGCGCCCAGCCGCCCGACGACGCTACGTTTTCAGTGCGTGGCCCCAGGGCTCCCGACCGCTTCCGTCGAGGGGCAGTTCTTCGGCCTGGCTCCGTCTCTGAGGGCCCTGTGGGACCCGAGAGCGGCCCCGCCGATGCAGATGCAGAGGTCGGTGGACGGCGCCGCGGTTGCAAAGGTCGGCCCTTCGGAGGAGGTCAGGGTGACCCCAGACATCCGACTCCACGACTTGTTCACAGCGTGGCTCCACAGAGGTCTGGGCCCCTGTCCCCAGGACCAGGTCTCATCCTGGGTCGACTTGTGACGGTCCCCCGCGGGGCTGGCGAAGGCCCTCGGGGGCCGAAAACGACCAAGCATCTCCGGTCGCATTTGTGTCGCGTCGCGTGGATGGCAGGGTCCGTCCTGGAAAGGCGTCGGGTTGCGCACAGACAGCCCCCCCAGGTCGTGTCGGTTGGCCCCAACAGGCTCCCCGAATAACGAGTCCCAGCCAGCCCCAACAGGCCCCCCGAGCACTCCAGGGCGGCATCAACACCACAACCCTGGCCCCCCCAGGGGCGAAAAACTGTCCGTCGTGACTTTGGTCGCAACGCGAGGATGTCAGGGCCTGCCTGTGCTCCCGAATCGTTGCGGAAGATCCGACCCCGAAGAAAGCCTCCTGCCCAGTCTGGGAGGTCGCCGCGGCGATCGCGGCGGCCATAAAACGGGGCAAGGTTTTGGTCAAGGAGTGGCGTGCCCCTTTCCAGCCTCCACCCCGCTCTGCGATGTAGACGCGGCTCACAATCAGCCATATAGCGACAGAGAGTTGTCAATGTGTGTCCAGCATGGGCAGTCGTGTTTTGGTTTGGGTAGGGGCCGATGATCTCGCAACCACCGAAGGCCTCGTTCAGGGACGTGGAGCTCCCGAACGAGTTCGGCAACCTCCAGGACCGCCCTCCCGTCGGGAGAGCTGGGCCATGTGCCCAGCTCGCGGCTTCGTGCCTCCACCCCCTAAGGAGGAGGATCGGGGAGGAGGAGAACCGAAGAGGAGGAGGATCTGAGAGTGGGAGGACCCAGGAGAGGAGGAGGAGGACAAGGAGGACGAGGTGGAGGTGGAGGTGGAAGAGGAGGAAGCGGAGGAGGAGAGAGGAGAAGGAGGAGGAGGAAGAGGAGGAAGAGGAGGAAGAGGAGGAGGAGGAGGACCCAGGCGGTGGGGGGGAGGACTCAGGAGGAGGTCGAGGACGAGGAGGAGTCGAAGATCGAGGATCAAGATCTTGAGATGACCTTTCTCCTCTCTGCGGGCTTCCCGAGGCCTCCGCTGGCGTCCAGAGGCTTCGGAGACCTCCAGACACCTCCAGAGACCTGGACCTCCAAGCGTCTCGAAGAGTTCGCCTTGTGTCCTGGTGGCCCTGGGACTTTCGGAGCACTGCACGAGACCCGGATGAGAGCCCCCGCCCCAGGGCATGGGTCGAGAGGTCCGGGGGGGCTCGCTCTACTAAGAAATGGAGACGTCGGAGGTGCGGGCCTTCCTCCTCCTCCTCTTCCTACTCCTCCTCCTCCTCCTCCTCCTCCTCCTCCTCCTCCTCCTCCTCCTCATCATCATCATCATCATCATCATCATCATCATCGGCGTCCTCCTTCTCCTCATCATCATCGTCGTCTTATTCATCATCATCATCAGCATCATCATCATCATCATCATCATCATCATCATCATCATCATCATCATCATCATCATCATCATCATCCTGCTCATTCTCATCTGCATCATCATCCTGCTGCTGGCGGCGACATTTCCAGACGCTGCTCCCGTGGGCGCGCGCAGGCTGTCCTGAGTAGCCTCCCGTTTGCTATATGATGCCGCCTAATGTCGGACGTCGCGTTCTCAGGGGATTGCCTTATCAGCATCAGCATCGTCACCACCAGCATCATCACCAGCACCAGCATCATCATCAGCATCATCATCACCACCATCAGCATCATCATCAGCACCATCATAACCATCAGCATCATCATCATCAGCAGCATGATCATCGCCATCATCATCAACATCAACATCATCGACGCCGTCAGCGTCGTAGCGCTGACGTGTTGTTCAGGCCCTTCTAGCAGCGCGGCATCGGTTTCCCTTGCGAGAGCAGGTGGGACAATTGGGCGGCCAGCATTTTCATGTGATTCTATGTTAGTCTCGAGGAAGAAACACTGTCACTCACGACACAGCATCCACTTGTATATGTCTACGATCACAGATCAGGACGTCTGGAGGAGGAATTCACGCTGGAGTTCGAGGATATCATGATGTCTGCGATCACAAATCAGGACGCGCTCGAAAATGTCACGCTGGTGCTTTTGGGTTTCACGCTGACCATGGCCACAGATCACGACGCGCTGGAGCATGTTGCGCTGCCCGCGATCGCAGATCCAGACGTGCTCGAGGATTTCGCGCCGGAGTTTTTGCATTCCACGGTGCTCGTGATCAAAGATCAGGACGCGCTCGAGAATGTCGCGCCGGTGATTTCGGTTTTCACGATGCCCGCGATCACAAATCAGGGCGTGTTTGGGAATTGCACGCTGATGTTTTTTGGAGTTCACGATTTCCGCAATCACGGATACATAAGACGATCGAAGCAAATCACGATGGTGCGGTCAGATTCCGTTCAGACCGCGACCACTGACCAGGTCAGAGCATGTTACGCTGTCCGCGATCACACACCAGGCCAGGCCGCGGTCGAGGATGTCACACTGGTGCTCGCATACTTCACGCTGTCCGCGATCACGGATCAGGTCACGCTCGAGGGTTTCACGCTGATGTTCTTGTAGATCACGACGTTCGCAATCACAGATCAGGACGCGCTCGAGAGTCTCACGCTGGTGCTCTTGGACCCCATGGTGTCCGCGATCACAAATCAGGACGTGATGAAAAAGGTAACGCTGGTGCTCGTGGGTGCCACGATGCTCGCGACCACAGAGCTGGTCAGACTCGAGAAGCGTACGCTGGCGCTCCTGGATTTGACGACGTCCGCCATCACAGACCAGGACGTGCTGGAAAAACCTTCGGCTTAATTGGTGCGCTGTCCACTTCGCATGACGTGAGCGGCGCCTTTGGGGTCAGCCCTCGAGGGCGCCGAGCGCCTCTCCCCTCCTGGGGTCTCGTAGCTGCGGGAGGGGCTGCGCCCAGGGGGGGCAGCGCCACGTAGCCCCACGACCTCTACGTTTTACATGCTCGTGTGGCGTGTTAAGACGCAGACCTTACTGGCCGAAGACTTGCGGTGGCCCACTGGCCCGATGTCCCGGGTGCGAAACTCATTGTTGTTCGCTTGTGATGTCCAGGGAGCTCACATGGGGGGTGGATAAATCAGATCGTCACCATCATCGTCATCAGAATCGTCAGCATCATTCTAGTCGGGGAGGGGGCACCTCATATTCCCCATTGCGTTTTGCACTGGCGTCTCCATATCCAGCGCCTTCGGCTGGCACCATCAGTTCTTGCTATCTTCAAGAGTTGGGAACATGAAGTGTTCCACCCCCGTGGCGTTTTCTTCCCATCCGCCACGCCTCCTCACCGAGCCAGCGCACTTTGCAGGCCCCGCACTGCGCTGCCAGTCTCCTGACAACCGTGCTTCAGGTTCGCCTTCAGCCGACCCGAATCGAATCAACACCATCCCTCCTCCATCCCTCCCTCCCTCCCCCCCTCCCTGGCCTCCCTCCCTCCCGTCCTCCTCCTCCTCCTCCTCCGCCGCCTCCTTCTCCTCCTCTTCCTCCTCCTCCTCGTCCTCCTCCTCCCCCCGCCTTGCGACGCCTCCTTTTTCCTCCTGCCCCCTCCTCCTTGCCCCCTTTTCCTCCTTCCCCCTCCTTCGCCCCCTCTTTCCTCCTCCTCTTTCTCCTCCTGCCCCTCCTCCTCGTTTGTTCTCACCCCTGCCCCACCCTCGTTGTCCTACCTGTGTTGTTCTCCCTCTTTCTCCTCCTGCCCCATCATCCAGCGAAGTCTCCAGGGACCACTGGAGGCGCCCAGAAGTTACCAGAGACCGTTGGAGGTTTCTAGAAGAAGGGCAGGTGGGCAGCGAGAGTGGATGAGCTGAAGGAGGGGTGTGAGAGGACGAAGGAAATGGAGCAGGACAAAGGCGAGAGAAGAAGGAGGCGGAAGCTCGAGCGAAAATTGATGAGGAGGCGGAGAAAGGGGAGGAGGAGAAAGAGGACGATGATAACGAGAGAGAAACAGGGACAGCAGGTCGAAAAGATTCAGAAAAGGAGGATGACCAAGGAACATAAGAAAAAACTTGGAAAAGAACGACGACGAGGACGACGACGACGACGACGACGACGACAGCGACGGCCACGGCCACGGCCACGGCCACGGCCACGGCCACGGCCACGGCCACGGCCACGGCCACGGCGACGACCACGGCCACGGCCACGGCCACGGCCACCCACAGCGACGACGGCGAAGGCGACGGCGACGGCGGCGGCGACGGCGACGGCGACGGCGACGGCGACAGCGACGACGACGACGGCCACGGCCACGGCCACGGCCATGGTGACGGCGACGACGCAGCGGAGGGAAGGGTCGAGGACCTCCCTGGCTTCGGGAGCCTGAACCCGCGCACGGAGGGCGTGCGCACGTTGGGGACCTTGTGGAGCTCGTCGCTCTTCCCAGGGCGCTGCCCTTCGGACTACAACCTGCTTCTCAACTACATGGGGGGGGCGCTGGGGCAGTGACGCCGCCTGCTCTGCTCGGCTGCACGCAGCAGTGACCCCGGGCAGTGCTTGTTGGTGCGCGGCGTGCCGATCAACGCATGCGGTGCGACAGTGGCGGCTTGCTTGGCCCCCCCCGAGCCCCCCGAAGAGCCGCGCACCAGAGGTCATTCCAGCGCAGGGCCACTTCCTACATGTAGCCGATCCGTGGACCCCGCCCGCGCATCCCTCCCAATTTGGAGTACGCGGTGCACGCGTTGGTGTAAGAAGCGCTTGTCTCCTCAGCTCCCCTTCCAAAGATATGAGGTGCGGGGCACTTGCGCGCGCCGCTCGCGCATGTCCAAACCAGGGTGCAGAAAACAGTGGTGGTCAAATCATGCCAAGACAATGCGATTCGCACTCCGTGAAACCCTCGGGTGCTTCACGAAAGCAATCGACAGAATTCTGGGTGCGCGCCCACTGGAATCGTAATGAACCACACGTTGCTTACAGTGCCGTTTTTAATACATGCCCCGCGTGCGGATCATGTATTAAAAATTCAGGGATCTAGCATTAAAAACAACGATGAGATCATGTAAAAATTGTTCATATGTTAACCATGCAGTAGCAATCTTATATGTTGAAAAATCCCATATGTTAAAAATTGCCCTGTACATCCGTTCTGTCGAACAAGACCATGCAGGCCACGCGCGCGCATGTCGGAGACGTTCCACCGCCGTCGCGCACCCGCCAATTCTCTCGAGTGATGCCCTGTTGGCCACACGCACGTACGTCGAAAAGGCGCGCGTACGTCGAAAAGGCGTACGTACGTCGAAAAGGCTAAAAAAAAAGCGTACGTACGTCGAAAAGGCGTACGTACGTTGAAAAGGCGTACGTACGTCGAAAACGCCTGGTATCCGCGCGCGTACGTCGAAGAGGCTCAAAAGTCGTACGCGTTCGTACCACCTCGACGCAGAGGTGGGCAGACACATACGAACACCCAGTGGCGTGTCGAAGAACGGCGGCTGGAGTTATGATATTATGCGGTCGCGCACGTCCTTGGCATCTTCATCAGAACAGCTGTTATCATCGTCGTCAGCATCATCATTGTCCTCGTCGCCATCATCATCACTATAGTCATCGTCGATGTCCATCCCCTCGTCAAATTTCTGCGCGCGCACTTCGTCATCATCCTCACCAGCACCATCATCAACATCATCATCAGCATCATCATCGCAAGCGTCATCGTCGCCACCGTCATTATCGACACCATCGGGTTCCTCGCCATCGTCGTCGTCGTCGGCATCGCCCCCACCGATAAGTTTGTCACCTACATCGTCGTAGTCGCGGCCCAGTTGAGTGTTGACCACAAGCTGCGGGTGGGTGGGATGTGTGCACGAGCGGTGAATGTGGTCACGCGCGGATGCGGGCAATATTAGCTGAATGCCACGCATAATACAGCTCATAGTGTTGACCATACACTGTGTACCACAGGTATTGCACCTCCAGGGTGCAAGATCCCATCAGTTGGGATCCACAATAGCAAACGTATATGTTTACCTATATCTGCATATGTATGTAAAGTGTGAATACATATTAGAGTGAGGGGGCGAACGGTCATTCATTGTCCCTGGGCTCGT